CATTCCCTTTACTCTGTGATTAAATTGTGTTAAGCTGGACTGCAGCCTGAGCTCGGGGAAGATGAATCTCCCATTCCTGGAAGTGTTCAAGGCCAGGCTGGACAGGGCTTGGAGCAACCTGGGATGGTGAAAGGTGTCCCTGCCCATGGCAGGAGGTGGGAACTGTGGAAGGTCTTCAAGGTCCTTCCAGCCCAAACCATTCTGTGACTCTCTGGTCTCCAGCAGAGGAGTTGGATCACCCACAAAGGTGCCAGGATATTTCACTCTCAGGTGGAGCTCCTACAAGGGTGGGAGTGGGAACCCAGGGATGCAAACACTAAGTAAGGGAGTGAGCTTGCAGCATGTCTGCTGTTCCTGAGTAAATATCCATCTGTGTATTCTTGCTTCCCATTAATTGCAAGGTCAGTTATCCTTCCTCCAGCGAGAGTGATCTGTGTCCCCGTACCTGAGTGACCTCACCTGAGTGACTCAGCTGCAGCAGCACTGTGAATTGTTACCTGCAACACATTTGAGCCTCTCCACTCTGAACCCCTGCCACACTTGGAAGTTTTAACCATTAGGTCCTGCTGTAAACTAAGCATTTCCTCAGCCTGGGGTCTTCTGATCAGTTTTGGGGGCTTTATCTCTTTCCTTATCTGGAAAAGCACCGACCCAGCCCATCCTTCTGCCGCTCTGTGGTTGTTGTTTCAGACACTTCCCTGGCAGCTGCAAAGCTGATAGGAAGCAACAAAACTTGCACTGTGGATTATCAGGAACACTACTGAGGCATTGCTTAATGCATCTGATATCTCAGCCTCGAGAACAGAAGGGAAAAAAAAAAAAAAAAGATTGGCAGCTATTGCAGGAATTCAGAGAGGGGCACCTTGGTACAGAGTCAGGGGGAGGCTTCTCCTTCCATTACAGAGCCCTGGGCTGAGATGGATTCCCTCTCCATCATTGTCCTAAGCACATTATCCCTGAAAGAAAGAGGGTTTCTCTGAATCTGCAATTTTTCTAGGCTTCAGTGTTATTGAAATGAAACGGCTTCAAGGATATCTACATTCTTTACCATCATACGGATTCTCATCTCATGTAAATTATTTGGCCACTTTTCATTTTAATCCTCCACTGTCATTTTCTACAAAAGAGATCATTTGGTTTCTTCATGGAAGGTATTCAGCTGACAGCTGCCCTTTGTCTAGAAAGCAGTGTGCCTTTGCAGGAGTTACTTGTGCCTGCTCCTTTTCTTTTTTTCCTTCCTTTTGAGTTCATCTGGCTTCATATTTTTCATCTGTACCTTTCAGAAACTTTTCAGACTGTGATCAGGTTTGTGGCTGTGAAGGGAATTTCAGACATCCCGCATTCTTTCCCTGTGTACCTGTCTGATAAGAAGCAGAACTAGAGGCAGAATAATTAATTTACTGCAAGAAGAACTGTAGTGAAAAAAAATCACGGTGTTTTCACAACTTCTACATGAGCAAACAAAATAGTCAGTGATGAAGTCTTGAATTTTTTTCCATGGCTTCCCTATCTTGAAAACTTAATTATTCTCATCTACTTTGCAGGAATCATAGAATTGTAAACCCATAGAGTAATTCGGGGTGGAAAAGACTTTTAAGATCATCAAGTCCAACCATCACCCAGCATCATATTCTCCACTAAGCCAGGTCCTCAAGTGCCACATGGTGGGAGGTTTAAAATGTGCTTTGTGTCATGGCACGAGAGCCACAAGACCTTGACGGGATGGGGATGAAACGTGATGTGTTGGTAGAGTTCATGCACAGGGGATTTGGAGGCTGAGGAGGAAAATCAGCAATTAGGGTTGGGTATTTTGGGTTACCTGGAGCTGTGAGACCTTTTCCTTTCAGGGTATGAGCTCTGATAAAGCAGCTTGCACTCCTTCAAACACTAAAAGCACAACATGGAGAGGAGCAGTATGGCCTCAAGAATGGCCTTAAGCTGAAGGGAGTAGATTTAGGTTGGCTTTTGGGGAGAAATTCTTCCCTGGGAGGGTGTGAGACCCTGGCACAGCTTGCCCAGAGAAGCTGTGGCTGCCACTGGATCCTTGGACGTGTCCAGGATTGGGTTGGAGCAACCTGGGGTAGTGGCAGGTGTCCCTGCCCATGGCAGGATGTTGGAACTGAATTATCTTTAAGGTCCCTTCCACACCACACCACCCTGGGATTGAGTTTTGAGGAGAACATTCAGTTTTGGGGAGCACAAGTTGAGGGCTGGCCAAGTTTATGGGGAGGTTGGATGTGTGGGGGAAGGAGAAGTCCCATCATTAATGAGGATAAGGAATAGTCCAGCAGGGGGAAGGAGAGGCAGGTTCAAAAATTGCTGTCAACTGCAGAAACAGAGTTTTAACTGCTCCACTAGTTCCCCTTCCAGCTGGTACCCATTTGGCTTTGGGATCCCCACAAAAATGACCAGGGCAGTTGTGTGACAACTCACTGAGATTTTTGATGCTTTTTCATAAATTGGAGATATAGGATGAGAAGAATTTCACATTTTTTAGTGAGAATTTCTTCTAAACATTTCTTGTAGACATGTTTAGACATTTTGTATGAAAAGATCAGAAATTCCTGATTGAATTAAAAAAAAAAAAACATTTCAGAATGATGAGAAATGTCAGGCAAATTAATTGTTTATATCTTAGTTGTAAAATTTTTAAAGATAAGAATTACTGTTTCAGCAGTTTCTAAATCACAAAAATGATTGGAATACACAAAACTCCCTCATTTGCTAGAAGAGATGTTCCATTCCTTGTCCAGTTCTGGATGTTTGCTCCATTACAGAGAGATTTCATGTTATCCCAGAGAAATGTAAGCATGGGCTAAAGTTCTGTTGTTGAATAAAAATAGTTTTTGTTATTTGTTGAAGGCAGCAAAAGCCTGGCTGTGGCTTGGGAAAGGGACAGTGTTGAGTTAGGTGACAAGAAAAGGGTCATTGGTGGTTCTGGTGTTGTCTTTGCTGCTTTAATTAGTGTCTCTGCTTCTTGAATTAACAAGAATGGGCAGTTCAAGGTCACCCTGATTGATAATTATATGTATTTTGTAATTTCTTCCATAAATGTTGTTTTTTGTACATGTGGTGCTGGTTAGGACTCCAGGGCAGGCAATATGTTCAGTAAATAACAGAGCAGCAGTTCTCAGCTGTGATCTCTTGCTGTTCCTTTATCTCAGGGTGCTTAGAAGAGGAAATGATTCTTGGCTGTGGGCAGAGGGCAGTGCTCTGCAGGTGGGAGAGCTGCAGTATTGTCATGGGGCTGCTGAACTGGGATCCTGAGCTGCTGCTTCCATCACTAACCACTGGAAAAAGCATTTTCTGCTCTGTTTTCCAAGCTCTCCATTCCCCAAAAATGCACCTTTGTACAGAACCCTGTGACCCCTTTGATCAGAAATTTGCAGCAGGTTGAGATGGACCCACACATCACTTCAAAGGCTGGAATCACACAAAGGGGACAGACATGGAAGAGGGGAAAATACCCTTTAAAAATTACCATGTCCAGAGGGCGTGATATTAATTTTAAATTCTCATAAAGCTGAATAAAGACACCAATCCTGTGCCAGGGAACTCCTCCTGCGATTCCTCAGTCACCTTAATTCCAGCAATGGAAGTGGAAGCGTTGGCTGACAAACTCCCAACTTTTCCAACACTTGAACTGAAGTTTAAGGCAGAGCTGCCCTTTATTTAGAGAAGATTGAGCTATTCCTGTGGTTCCATTTGCTCTCTCCCAGGAGATCACCTGGATGTACGTGAATGGTGCAACTCTCTGAGCTCATGTGTGATTTTTTTCACTCACTGAGGAGCAATTTTGAAATGGGACCCCATTTTGGGCATAGCTGTGACTGTAAATGACCTCTGTGAACAGGGGGATGAAGTAGTGGCACCTTAAAATTCCTGAGTGCTCAAAATTTGGACAGAAACAGTTCTGGTATGGAATAGAATCTGGATTTCCATAGAAGGTAACTGGGGCCAATCCACTGGATGAATAATGGAAAATAATAATTGCCTCAATATGCCTGAATCTCCTATTGCCAAATGATCTACAGTTAAGGAAATAAATATCTTACTTTCAAATCCAGAGCAGCTGTCCAACAGCTGGGCCTGCTGCTGATCAAAGTTGATAAAAGAAATCCCAGGATTATATATTATGGATAATCTACAGAAAAAACAGTGGTAGTCCCTGCTTGTGGTGTGATTAGCAGAGTCCATTGAAGAAAACAGGATGTTTTGTTGGTTTTAATGCAGATCTGATAAACTCTGTGGAATATAAATCAGTTCATTAAAATTTGCAGAGCAGTTCAATGAGGTAAAAGAGGAAATAGTTTTAACTTTTATAGGATGTTTACTGCATATAAAGTACAATAAAATCACAATTATTCCAGAAAAATACTGATAGTAACATGCTGTATTCAATGTGTCGTTCTGAGGAAGATTGAAAAATTTTGAATTGTGGTTTTAAAAAAACAGTCTGACTGTAGAAATCGTCCTGTGTAATTTCATAGCATCTCCACACCATATCTGTCTCTGCAGTATTTGTGGGGTTTTGCATAATACAGATATTAAAAGTATGTATGGATGTGTATATATTAACAAATATATATGAACAGGGATCAAAATAAATGTTAAACAGCTCCTTCTGCCTAAGCTAGTGGTGTGTCAGGGAATAAATAATAAATAAATTATAATAAGGTCAAAGGCCTGTGGTGTCTTGGAGATGATGCTTCACTTGACAATCTTAACTCTGTTATCCATGGAATTGCCTACATTTTTCGGTGTCCTGGTACAATATTCCAAATGCTGAGATAATACTCATTTATCTGAGGGATTTGGGAAATTTCCTTCATTCCATGTGGACTTAAGTGCAGGCTGATGTTACTTTACCATAAAATTCACTGTGGTACCTTTGGAGGAGTGATGCATAAATCAGCAGCTGACACCTTTTAGTGGAGCTGCTTTGGAACATTCATGCTCTGATTTCTTAAGAAAAAACCTGTTTTTTTCCCCTTTTGCAGTTACTTCAATGAGAATCAATATCCCGACGAGGCAAAGAGAGAAGAAATTGCCAATGCCTGTAATGCAGTTATACAAAAACCAGGTGAGGAGCTGCTGGGGGGTCCTTCCCAAAAACAAAGAGGTTTCAGCACCTTGAGTTCTGAGACTGATGTTTGCAGAATCACAGAATTTTTTAGGTTGGAAAAGACCTCCAAGGTCATCAACCTTTGACTGATAAATCAGGTTTTTGGAGGAGGAAGGAGCTCAGCTCTCCTGTTTTTCAGTATTTTACAGCTTCCAGACAGGGATCTCAGATTAGAACCTGGGTGTTAATGGAGGACCTTATCTTTAGGTCAAAAAGTTGCGTTTTCCCTGTTTCTGGAGAAGTTATACTTGGGAGAGGAGCATGAATATTCAGTGTAGTGTTAGTGGATGCACCTGCCTTTGCTTAGTTTTGCTAACCAAACATTTACATAGATTTCAGAACTTGTGTTTTGGTTATATTTAGATTTCTTACAACCAGAATAAAAATTAATGAGAAGGCAACTAAAGTGTGAGTCATGCACATGGAATCACAAAATTATTTATGATGGAAAAGCCTCTGGGATCATTGAGTCCAACCATCCCCAGCACTGCCAAGGCCACCACTGATCTATGTCCTCAAGTGCCTCATCCGTAGGGTTTTTAAATCCCTCCAGGAATGGGCACTCCACCGTCTCCTTGGGCAGCTGTGCCAGGGCTGGACAACCCTTTCCAGGCAGGAATTGTTCCCAGTATCCAGCCTGAACCTCCTCTGGTGCAGCTTGAGGCCATTTCCTCTCGTCCTGTTCCCTGGGAGAAAAGGTGGATCCCACCTTGTTGTCCTTTCAGGGAGTTGTGGAGGGCTGGGACTGTCACAGGATAGCTCAGGGTCAGACCAGTTTAGAATGGAAGTGACCTCTGGAGTTCATCTGGTGAGGTAGGACCAGCTTAGATGGGATTGTTCAGTTTTCAGTATCTCCAAAACCAGAAGTTTTCCCTCCTCCAGGCCTCTGTTCCACAGTGTTGAGCACTCTCACGGCAAAGTACTTTTCCCCAATACCTGCTGAAATTTTCCTTGAAAAATCCATCAGGTAGAGGACCAGAGAGCTGAGGGTTTGATTCCTGGCTGTGCTGCTGGTTTGTGGAGCAACTTGGAACAAAGTGCTGCAAGGCCGTGTCAGGGAGCAGTAAAATACTGCCAGTGGTGCTGATGCAAAGCATTAGGCAGCAGCCAAGCTATCAATTTCCAGAGTTTTCTTTCTTTCTTTCACCTGTCTCATCTCTCCTAACTTATTTAAGTGTGCAGATTGCTGCAATTACATGGGTGTTTTGTATGCTGAATAAATAAACTTTGAGAAGGAGTCAGAAGCAGGGGGGGCTCAACCCTGTATAGCCTGCAGAGGTCTGAGGATGCAGATATGGGGAATACTTTATACAGGGTCAAGAGCAGCTGAAGAGGTTTCCAGGATGTCCTTGGAATACTGAATCCCTCCAGTCTTATGTTATTTATAGTGATGAGCAGATAAAAGCATAGTTTTTTTATAGCTGCCTTCTGGTTTTTAGGAAATTTTTTGTTGGTTTAAGTATAAAAATCCAGTTTCCAGCATCCACCCCCGTTCTCCCAAAAGATCCCGAGTGTCCTGGCACAGTTGAGAGGGTGTGATGGGTGCTGAGAGAAAGGAAAGCAGATTGCAAGGGTGACACAAAACCACTTCATTCATTCTGCTGCTGTATAAAACACTGAACTGTACCCTCGTGACACATAGTAAGAGAAGGAGCCCCAGGGATGGGGTTTATGGCAGGAATTTCAGTTTTTGGAATCTCAGTTTTGTGCTTGAACTGGAAAAGCAGCCCTTCATTCTTCCGTGGCTCTGGATTGAGTTGGTTAAAGCTGCAAAGAAATTCCTGTAATGCAGATTTTTAAAAAGCAGAAGAAAAGCAGATACTTGTCTGCTGTGTCTCCCCCTCGAATCCACGGGAACAGATCCCCTGTGGAGCCCGGCCAGCTGGGCAGTGGGGTGAGTGGGCAGAGGGAAGGAATTTCCTTGGATCCCGGGGGGCTTGGAGAAGCTCCCATGTGAGTCCAAAACGAGCTGGTCCCACAAGCAAAGGAAAGAGGCGCTCCTCCTCAGGATTAGTTCCAAAGTTTAATGAGGGCCTGGAGAGATCCCTGGCCACATCTGACCTCGAAGGACATCCAGAGCAAGAGAGGGAGGTCCCCACCCAGAGCAGCCAGATACAGGGGGATGGGGAAACCTGAACAGCCAAAGGGGGAAGGACTTGGGAGTGGCTCTCGGGGGGCAAGACCTCAGAGTGACCACTGAGGAGGGGGTGAGGGAGGGGTCCCAGTCAGGGTCCAGGTACCTGGTGACCCTACCAGAAGGGTCTGGACAAAGGGGAATGGTCAGCAGGTGATGGACACATCACCTGGGGGGAGACAGGGGGATGGGTTGGGGTTTGATGGACATACAGGTACTGATGGGAAAGCTGGGATGAACCAAACAGATAAAAAGAAGGGATATGGAGGGACAAACCATGAGGAGATATACAGTGCAAACACAACTCCACACTTGTCAGTTAGTGCCACAGCACCTAGACACTGGAATGTGATCCACATAAAGTTCACTTTTTTCTCAGTTATAATACCTTGCCAGTGCTGCTTGTGTTTCAGTGGTTTATCCCATAGAATCCCAGAATCATTTGTGTGAGCAGGGACCTCAAAACTCATCTAAAATTCCAATCCCAGAACAGGGACAGGGATACCTTCCACTATCCCAGGTTGCTCCAAATCTAGTCCAACCTGTTCTTGGACACTTCCCAGGATGTGGCAGCCACAGCTTCTCTGGAACCCAGTGAGTAACGCCACTGAACTATTATTTTCCCCTCCATTGCTTTCCTAGGAAAAAAGTTGTCAGATTTGGAGCGAGTTACCTCCCTCAAAGTGTACAACTGGTTTGCCAACAGGAGGAAGGAGATCAAGAGAAGAGCCAATATCGGTAATGTATCACAGAGCCTGCCTGCAAGGCTTGGGGTTTGCTCAGGAGAGGTGGCAATTACGTAAGAATAAATTAGTGGAAACACCAGAGGTGCTGACAGCCTCGGGAGAAATGTGGAGAAATTATGAAAATGAGTCTCTTGCTGTTCCAGATTTTTTGTGAAATATGTGTAATTTGTAGAATTCTGTCATCAGTGCAGGAAAAGTGATGCAGTTACGAAGTTTTACTGGAAGATCAGCTTTAAAAAGAAAAGTGAGAATTTAATAGGTGGAAGGAGAGTTGCATTTCCCTCCTTTGAGTGTCCAAACTCAAATATGAACTGAAACCTCAAAATTGTAAATAAAGGAGATAGAGATGTTGGGAGGTTCACAAACTTAGTGTGGATTTTATCCTGGTTATACCTCTGTCCCTGACAGCTTTCCAAGGTTTTTCCCAGAGAAAAGTGGCTGGAAAAAAGCCATATTTTTTGTTGATGATCAGGAAAAAAAACAAAAGTCACTTCAGAATTAACCCTGTGATTTCTTAGCTGATTGTAAGGAAGTCCAAAGTGACTCTGAACTCATAGGAAGGGGACCCTTTGATGTGGATAAGATGTTCTGAGGAGAATAAATCATCTCAGTGATTTATTATTTTGTGGATTCAACAAACTCTTGCCATTCATAAAAAGTTTGATGCCCTTACTTAGATATTATGTGGAATTACGTTAGCAACACATGGGTGAACAGACATCCATATCTGCTTATTTCCAGTATTTTTAATTATTTCAAATGTTCCACTATTTTGCCTTATTTCTGAATTACAAAAAAAAAGCTCTTATTACATCATTTAACATGTTCCTGAAGTTTAACTAAATTTATTTTTCTACAAGTAAAAATGGCTTCTCAAAGGGATGGGGGAATAAAGCAAACTCAGTCCAAGGTGGGTGGAGTTTAGTGTTTGGGGAGGAGATTTGGAAAGAGATCAGAAGAATCAAGGGGACCTTTAGATCTATGGATCCTAGTGGAAGATGGATTTTTTTTGTGTGTGTTTTCAAATCCCTGAAGTGCTTTCAGAAATTTCTCACATCTGTTTTCAGACACTTCCCACTCCCTGAGTCCTGCCAGTCCAAACCGTGGGGGAAGATTTACAGGGAGTGCCTTTGTCACAGTCACTAATGTCACTAATGTCTCAGTACCTTAGAAATGACACTGATTTCTGTTAGGACTGCTGGAAGACAGGGATTTTTGCTCCCAGACAGGTCTGGTAGTTGGCAGGGGAGGATTTCAGGCAAAGCAGTGTTTGTACCTGTGCTGCCTTCCCAGATGTTGGAGAGCGAAGAGGGAGGTGCTAAGAACTAACCCTGTTCCTCCAGTTATTCTAACTTCCTGGAAAAGGAAAAAAAAACCCGAGTTACTTTAACCTCTCCAATGCATCAGATAAATGAGGGATCCATTTGCTTTTTTCGAAGAAGCAGCAATCCTGGAGAGCCATGGAATAGATGTACAGAGTCCAGGAGGTCACTCCAACAGCGACGACGTGGACGGCAATGACTACTCAGAGCAGGTGAGCACTGGAGCCTCGTGGCCCAAACAGGGAGAACTCCAACACCTAAAAAGGCCCTTTTGCCTCTTGAAAATCCTGTTTTGTTTGGCTTTTGTATCATTGTGATGGGGAGAGGGTGATAATCCAGTGTTCACCCACATGGATTTGTTGCCTCACAACAGGACACTTGGCAAGTACGCAACGGGGAGGAGGAGGGACGATGTTCCGAGGGAGGCAGAGAAGCAGAGAAGGTAGAAGAAGACAGGAGGATCTGCTCCAAACAAGCAAGTTACACCCCTCACACCACACACAATGTCTGAGACACGGCAGGAGAGCCTCACCTCAGCCAGAGCCCTGCCATCCCCATGCTCTCCTTCCCTGTCACTCTGAGTTCCCTCCCTCAGGACAGGTCTTTCACAGTCCTGTGTGTCAGGCAGCAGCAGTTATCCCTGCAAAGCTGGGCACCTCTTGCACCTCTGATTTCCTTCTGCAAGAAACACCCTGTTCTAGCCAGGGCCACCCTTGCTGTGAGCTGCTGACCCGGCCCCAGACATGGGCAGGAGAGAGCCCTGCCCAGGACCCTTCAGAATTCCTTGTGCCAGCCTTTCCCAGCAGGATTCTGAGCACTGAGCACCCTTCTGGAACTTACTGAGCTCCCTCTGTTCTTTGGGAAAACCTTCCAGGAGCTTCTCAGGATCATCCCTCAGACACTGACAGACAAAGGGTGAAGGGTGGGGGGAAAGGATTTGGCCTATTCCATATTGTTCTGCAAGAGTGTGCCATTATTTGGATCATTTACATAGTATCTGTCTTTTTTTTGTTATTTATTTGTTTTTGCATTTTAATTCTTTCCTGTTCTCTCTTTTTCTTGGTTATTTTTAACCCTTGACAGCAGCTTCTTTTTTAAATTCGCTAGCAAAAGAATAGCCCTTCCCACACTCTGAGCCCTCACCTACCCTAAAGTTGGTGACCCTTCCTTCACACACCACCTGACAGGTATTGCATCCCCTTCCCAATTTTCCCAGTGTTGGCCAAACCCCCAGGGCTATGTGTGCTTGGCACCGGTGACTCGACCAGTTCACTCTTCCTGCTTTTGAGAGGAGATATTTCTGTGCCACCCCACAGCTGGGCTGGATCACTTTTCCCTGCCTCTTTTGGGAGGAGCTGGGAGTTCTCCCTCTCCAAAGGCTGCTGGTGGAGTGGAACAGCAGCTGAGTGTCCTGGAATGAAGCCCTGGCACACTTGGCTCTGGCCCAGTGCAGCAGATCCCTGGCAGAGACATCCCCAGCTGCTCTGCTCCTGGTGGGGATTGAGACCCTTTTTAGAGGTCAGCACCAGCAGATTTGGTGGGACCAACTTTTCTGGCTCTCAGTGATGAGAAGCTGCTCTGTGACTGACGTGAAATATTTAGAAACCACTGCCAAGCCCAGAAAATTCCCTGTCAGACAGACAGGACTGGAATACTGAGGTGGAGCGTGATGTAGACTCCTGAACTATGTTTTTCTTCTGTGCATTAACCAGCATACTTTGAAAAGAGAAATAAATTGGTTATTAAAATTTAAAGATCTTTGTTTAGAGGCCTTAGAAATGACATTTCTCAGTAATCTGTGAGGTGTCATTAGCAGCAAAGCAGATTAAATGTCAAGTTCTCCTGATGACCATTTAACATCCCTTAGCTGTTAAACCCAAAAATTCTGTTTTCCACAGAAACACGTAAACCCTAATAAACTTTAAAACACAAAGGTTATCTAAAAAGTGCTAATTTTTTTTATACTAACAAAGTGCCTAAAACCCCAGATTTTAGGGCTCTGTATTTGTACCATGACAAAGGTTTCTGAGAGGTCCTAACATTTACCAGGCCCTTGTTATAAGTGAATGAATCCTTCTAAGTAACCTCAGATTTTACCAAATCCTGGCTTTTTTCTTTTTCCTCCTCAACATTTATCACCCATCATCTTAATTTAAAAATGCTCTATGCATGTTTTAAATCACACAAGTTCATCACTTGAAGGCTGTTGGGAGACTGATAAATGTTTATCGTTTCCTTTCTGTAAATGGTAATAATTTAAAAATCCAAGATCTCAGGGGGATAACTATTAGTGCCCTGTTTTAAAGAGGGGAAAGCACCATAATTTTTCCCAGATTCCTTATTTGATTTATAGTGGTTCCAGTCCCCTTCAGTCACTGGTTTTCTTAGCATTCAAAGAGTTTTCCAGCATATTTTCCCCTATATCTGTGTGAATTCAGTGTTTTCACAGGATGCTGCCTTGGATCAAGGGTTAGGCTCAGTTTGTGTCATAGTCTGGTCAATAGCAGCAGTTAAAGAAAAAGTACTTCTCTAATGTATATAGAATTTTTTTATTCTAGTAACTTCCAGCTTCTGGAAGTCAGTAGTTTTAAGAGGCTCCCTGGGTTTCCATAATTTCTAGCAGACTAATTTTCCCTGGATTTGTCAAACATACACATTTTAAAGTCATTTTTACTTTTGTGTGATGTAAAAATCAGTGAATCCTGAACTGAACTGTGCTAAGCGAGCAGTGCTTCCACTGCTGCCTTGGATCACATTATCATTCCAGCGAGTGTCTTTGATTATTAGATCATAAAAAACCATGGGCAGTTGTTCTCTTTATTTTCCAGTTATTTGTAACAAACATTTATCATATCAGCCATTTCTTCCCCAAACTGGAAAACTTGACTCTGTTTAGCTTCTTCTCGTTAGGAAACCTCTTCCCTTGGGATGTTTCTTTCCTCTGCCTTTTCGATTTCTGTTGCAGCATCAAATAGAATCAGAGAACCACAGAATGGTTTGGGTTGGAAGGGACTCTAAAGTTCATCTCATTCCACATCTCATGCCGTGGCCAGGGATGACCAGAACTGTATATTCCAGCTATAAGCATGGTCCTGTGCCATGCCCAGTGATTCCTGTCTTAATTTGCTTTCCTGACTTAAGCTCGTGTATCACTTCCGTCTTTACTATTCAATATTTTCGCCTACTCCCTGCCTCATTTACCTTTGTCTGCACAGTAGGGAAACCAGTCCTAAACCCACGTTTTGACCCCGCTCTGTCCCCCCACAATCCCTCAGCATATTTGTTTTCCCCGCTGTGATTTTGGACTTGTGGAATAACCCTGCTTCTCTCTGCTCCTTCCCACATGGTTCCAGGATGACAGCACTAGCCATAGTGACCACCAAGACCCCATTTCCTTAGCTGTGGAGATGGCAGCAGTCAACCACACCATCCTGGCGCTGGCCCGGCAAGGAGCCAACGAGATCAAGACAGAGGCTCTGGACGACGACTGATGCCAAGAAAGGGGAGGGTCAAAGCAAGAAGTAACTTAGTTTTAGACGTAGCACCTTAGCAGACTTTCCTCGGTCCTTAATATGTGTTCTTACAGTATAACTTTGCAGTTTCTTGTACGTCAGTTAGCTGTTAGGGTCTTGTTCTGTGAAGATGGCATGGTGCCCTCAGCCTTTGCGTATACTCTCTCAGTATTAATTCCCAATAAATAATCAATCAACCAACCAACCTCCCTCTCCCGGCCCCCAGTGGCTAGAAAGGTAAAATCGAAAAAAAAAAAAAAAAAAAAAAAAAAAAAAAAGAAAAAAAAAATCTTGCTGCTCTGTCTTAGCATTCAAAGTGCTTCCAGGTATTTTAGACAGCCCTCAATTACAAGTCTTAGGCTACACTTAAAATCTTGGATAACCTTAGAGATGGTGTTGAAACTGATAGTCCGTATGCTTTCCCTGCCCTGAGACTGAAAGGATGCAAGCTGAGGTAGTGGCACAGGGTCGATGGACACCAGACTGGGAGTATCAACAGAGAGTAAAAAGAACACTTAGAAACCCCACTCCAGCATGGGAATAAATGATTTCCAGCTGCAATAAGCCGTGCCTCACTGGTCATACAGTGACTCCGTTTACTTTCGGGTGCTGTGCCGAGAATGTCCATTGGAAACACATTCCCACATTTCAGTTGATGCTCACACATTCAACACAGACATCCTCTACTCTCACAAGCTGCGTGGCTTAGTGGAGAAGTGCTGCCTTCTGCCTCTGCGACCGTGGTTGAAGCCCAGCCTGGGATCAAATGAAAAATGAGCTGAATGTCTAAGGAACAACAGTCCGCTTCTCAGAACCACTGCTCGTTCTTGGCATGGCTGGCAGTGCCTGCTCAGAAGAGGTCTAGACTCTTACCCATCCGTCATTAACAATTTCACCTCTAATTCCTCCTCTCTCACCTTTTCTGTCCCCACTCTACTCCCCTCTCCACTTTGCCACTTTCGAAAGCAATGTTTTCCAGGAAGGTTGTTAAGGTCCTAAAATGGGTGAGTGGATTTTTACACGCCTGTGTAAGTAATGCCTACGTCCTGACTAGCCTGAAAGGTTACTGGAGAATTCGACATCTGACCATTGCTAGATAACCATCAGAGCATAAATATTCTCCTAAATATGAACTTTTTTTGTTTGTTTGAAGGCAGGAGGATCTCTTACCTGAGAAATGGGGTGTGAATGTTTTGTGTTCTCTTTACTCTGTCTTTGTTAAGGTGTGAGAAAGCTATACTGCTACGAGCAATTTAATTAATAATTGGAAGCCATACTGATAATGGATGTGGTAATATTTGTAAAGCAAACCTACTCTAAGTAGCAGGAACTAATGGAATTGTTTTCCTTGATCATATGTAGCACTTTTGTTACTTTTTTCTTAAAGATATTTATATTTGATAAGTCTTTTTTTTATCATTTGAGAATTCCAAATACCAAACAGCAAACTTGCATTACAGAGTCACCCTGCGATCACCTTGTCATCTAGTATCTAAATGATGAACTGTGTGTGCATCTAAGAAAATTACATCTGCTAGCATTGTGTGGAAATGATCTCCTGGCATCCTGATAAAATGATATGTTGCTGCCGGTAAGAGGAAACGTTTTGATGGAAGCAGCACGAGAAGCGTTAGAGACGGGCAGGGCTGTGGTACATTAACAGAGAACAAATTAAAAACCTACGGAAATTTTTGTATAGAGACACGTATATAAAAGTTTGCATAGCGTTTCCTCCACATTCCGCTTTGTCTTCCCAGTTCGTGTGGGAATAGCTTAAAGAGAGAAAAACAGCTCAAGGATGGGTTTCCCTTTGCTCCCCTCCACTTTTGAGGTGGAGCTAAGGGAAATTCCTGTTACTTGCCTTGTTCTCATCCCTTCCTCCCTCTTAACCCTCAGAGAGCTTCGTGACCGCTCCAGCGTGGCTCCTCAGCAGGTTTTGAGCCAGGCTGAGCCCTCCAGATCAGCTGCCCCTCTTCTGTCCATGGGGAGCAAACTGCTCCCCCACGTGCCGAGGAGATCCTGTGCTCTCAGAGGGCACCGCCGTGCCACCCCTTTGTCCCTGGAAGATCTATAGGTAGGGCTTGGCCTCGCCTCCCACTTATGGATTTCATTGGAGAATTTATGTGCTTTCCTTAGTTACAGATCACTGGAGCAGAATGAAGCCGTGTTTTTTTCCTGTTTTATTGCATTTCTTGAGTAGGCAAATTCATAAGTAGCGTCAGGGTGGACTCAGGAAAGGCAGGACTTGGATCAGTGACCATTGCACCACTGCAGTTATTTTCTTACTGCCTGTATGAATGTTTTGGTACTTAGGAGTGAAAGGATGGGAAGAGCTTTTATTTCTATTTTTGCACAGCAGAATGATCGAGCAAACTCGGCCTTAGTGGAATTTTACCTACTTACTCATTCCACAAGCTCAGTCACACACTGAGCTGACAAGCAACATCCACGATTTATAGTAAGGAGATTTTAATAATCGATGACCTCTTTACATTGGGCTTGCCACCACCATTTGTTCTGGCTGTTTCATTTTAAGAAGAACAGACTCAAACTGTTGGACAGCTGCAATTCTAGAAGAAATATTGCTTATTGCTTACTATAGTATCTGTAAAAAAAACAAAGGCATTGTTTGAGGCTTTGCCTTTTTAAAGCAACAGGGAAGAATAAAAATAGTATTAGAACTTCTGTATCCTGATTATAGGTTCATGTGATGCAGGATCAAAGTAGCACCACTGAAATTGTGTGTCTGTACCATCTAATGTAGAATAATCTGGTCTTAATTCTGTTTGTCACTGTCAGGAATCTGCTGACATCCCACGTCAGTATCTTCTCTGAAGGTTAAACAGGTAAAAAAACCCTTGTGAGCAACTGGAGATTGGCAGATCTTCCTGGGCTGTAAATACCCAGTTTTCTACCTTCCCATATTGTCATCTTAGCAGACAAAATATCAAATATCTGGGGAATCAACCCCTTGGTTCTGTGGGGTCAGTGTTTGGGGTGTGTCTGTTCTGGCTTCTCTTTGGGCATCGGGAGGTACGAGGAACGAGTGGCACCTCAGAGGAACGAGTGACACCTCAGCTGTCCCCAGGCAGCCCAACCTGCTCCTGGCAGGTTGTTTCCATCATTCTGGAAGTTCATCAGGAGCCATTTGCAGCTGGTCAATGCCTTTTTGGTTTGAGGTGAATTACCTGTAACGGGACAGGTGCTGATGTGATGGTACCGAGATGAGCGAATGTGATCTGGAGTAAGTGAAAGAATCGGTGGAGGGTGAGTCCTGGAATTCAGCAGTCCTGGAATTCTTTCTTTTGGGGGTTTTTCCATGGTATGGGAGTTGTCTTTGTCTTTCTGTGTGTGGGCTGCCTTGGAAATGAAGCCTCATTTTGGTAGCACTGCAATGGAGTGGCAGTTCGTTGTGGCCAGGCTGGAGTCACTGCAGTTTGTTCTCTTCCCGTGAAGTGGCTCTGGTGGCACATCCGAGCTACCTTTTTGTTCTGTGAACAGAGAAGAAGTTAATTTAAGAAGCTCCTCATCTGTGATGGTCACAGATTGCTTTTACCTTTGTGGAGTGAGTTCTGGGTGATAATTTGTCCCTCATAAACTCCTTTTACTTGAGTTGTTGTCTCTGACCATCTTCTTAAAACAACAATTTCTACCTCCACTGCTCTTCTGGATTGTTTTGGTGTTGGGTTTTTCTTTAGTTCCCCCACCATTTTTCCTGAAGTATGAGATCCCAAACATTTGCAAAAGCCTTATGAGTTGATAAAAATCAGCAGATTTGTTTTCTGTTGATCTTCTGAATACCCTATAGACACACGTGTGGTTATAGCGAAGTCCTGTGCTGGGTGTGAGTCTGAAGTGCACCCTTGCAGCAATTAAGGAATCTCATTAAGAGCCTTCAGGAGGTCATGGAAAGGGTTTAGACCCCTCTGTGCATCATTTGTGGGGCCATTGCGTGGGCAGATGGTAGGGCTGGAGCCCATTCACACAGTGGGAGATTGCAGGAGCTGGGATTGTCCAGGCTGGCTCTGGGGACATCCCAGATTTTGGGTTTTAACTGTTTTAATGAATTAGTTTTAACTTGGGGGTCCAGTGCAGGATCAGGAGTTGGACTTTGATGATCTTTGTGGGTCCCTTCCAACTCAGGATGTTCTGTGATTCCAGAGAAGACAGAGCCAGGCTCTTCTCAGAGGTGCCCAGCAAAACCCTGAGGGGCAGAGGACTAGAGCTGCATGAAGGAAAATCCCAGATGAATTTAAATAGAAGTGTTTTCATGCTCAGTGGTAGAAATGGCCCAGAAAGTCAGTGAAATTCCCATCCTTGGGGATACTCAAAATTCAACTGGATGGACAGGGTTGGATTAGAGACCTCCAGAGGTCTCTTCTGACTGAAATTATTCTCTGATTCTGTGCAAACCTGCTCAGGCTGAGGTGTTCCCTAGTTCTGATTTGTACATGTTGACTTGTTTATATAAATTCTGTTAATTTGTTAAGGATTTTTTCTGTTTTGCTGTTCATAAAAATTGTCTTTTCTAGTTTACTAATAGATAGGAGCTTTATTTGCAGGGTCTGGCTCCAGGCTCCAATCAAGCCATAAGTTAGAGATTTCATTAATTATTTGCTCTGTTTACACAGTTCTTCAGGGAAATTTGACTTACTCTGTTTGTTTCATTGCCTAACATCAGACTGGTAAGTTTTTCATGTGTTTTGTAACATTTGTGATTTGTAGATCAGTTTTGTTTTCATTTCTGAAGATTTATCTTTGTCTTGCTGCTGTGAGTGCAAGTGAGAAACTCGACATAGCTGAACCTAATTCAGGAAAAACTGGGATTAACTCTAGACCACTGGTGACTACTGTGGTAAAACAGAAATTTTGGGTCAGTAAATCACAAATTGGTGATTATTAGGAGCTGAAAGGGTTTGATTGGGAAAAAGTCAAGTTATGGTCACTTGGATCCCCCTTTATGCTGTTGGCCACTTCTAGGAAAAGCAGTGTGACAGCTGAAATAGGTTTTATTTTTCATACAGATAAACCCACTAAAATTGGTGTAAGAATTTTCCAAACTCAAAATTGCTGCCTTGATGCAAGATGTTGGTTCCCTGTGCATGATCCTAACTGGAATCCAAAGCTGGAATCAGTCACATTTTCCTTGGAAATTACTAAATTCACTGTGAGACCGTGCCCATAATCCTGAGCTGTGAGTGTTCAGCTGGGGATGGTTTCCAGCCCCTCCCCTACTCTTTTTAATTTATCCCTGCTCATTTTAATTAATATTTATAATAATGTTCCTCCTCCCACTCCAGCTCCATCATGGTGCAGCCCCCACTTCCCAGTCCTCATCAGCTTCTTTCAAACTCATTGTGGAATTACCAGCAAATTTTAGTGGGTTTTGTCAAAATTTTGCTCTTATTTTATCTGAGTTTTCTCACTCAAGTAGCTCTTGCACTCTTTGAAGTTATTTAACTTGATAATATTATTTTGAACAAAGTCTTAAGCTTTTAGGCAATAATCTTTGGTTTGGTGCAGCTTTTGGCATTTGGCAGGAGTCTTTGTTGGCAGGATTGGTCTTAAATTGTGTTACATGTCAGTGACCTTAATATATGTTCCTTACATGGATTTTGTGTGTTTGTAGCAGCAGTCAGGGGTTGGATCCCAATCCCAGCTACTTTAATGGAGTTTTGTGGAGTTTTCACTGTGATTCCTTGGAAGGGAAGGTTGATGGCCTGACCAAAAAAATACCTTGCATTTCCCAAGAAGAGTTGAGATATTTCAACCTAAAACATTCCCCCCTGGGCTTTTGAGCAGCTGGGATATTTACTCAGGATATTGGATCAGTTATTGGCCAAAAGGGATTTGGTACAGCCCTAAAACCTTCATTTCAGCCTCTCTTTCTGCTGTCAAATTTATGGTGTTTAAACTGTCTGCCTAAAGACGTTGCACATTCATGAAAACCAGAGGCATTCTAGAGATGGCAGCTACAAATCCAAATTTAAAATACACTGAAATTATCTTTTCTTCCTTTGTGAGAAATATGTTACAACTAGAGGAGCGTGGTTGAGTGTTTTGAGGACTGTCAGTAAGGTGACAGTGATTTGATGTTGGGTTTTGTCCAACAAACGTAAATCAAATCAGACCAATGGAAGTTTATCTCGGTGGCAGCAGTGAGGCAGAGGGAGAAAAATTGAAACTCTTTTACTGAAGAGTTTGTTGCCATCCTTGGCCTTAGGTTTTATCACTTAAAAATAGCCTGGAATTGTTTGCTTTGTAGCTTATATCAGAAAATTGTGGAAGGGGTTGAGTGGGAAGAGATTTTAAAGAGCATCCAGTCCCACCCATGCCATTGGCAGGGTCACCTTGGAGTATTCCAGGTTGCTCCAAGCCCCAGTGTCCATCCTGGTCGTGCACACTTCCAGGGATGGAGCAGCTACAACTGCCATGGAGCTAGAAAATAATTTATCATTTGAAACACAGGGGGAAATTCACAAAACATTTTAAAGGTCCCTTTTAATCAGGCTGACGCAGCAAAAGAACCAAAGGGTGTGATGGCTGCAGCGTGGAGCTCTTTCCCATTCTTTCAGGGAGGTCTGGAGTGCTCCAGCCAAGAGCTCAAGCAGGAATGAGCTGAAGCCATTGAGCTGGAGCGGGCTGGTGATGGGCCTTTGATGTTTCTGTATGTTCAGAGCATCTCTCCCTCAGCTGCCTTGGCAGAAACCTCCCTCTGCCATTTATTCCCTCTCTGCTCAATGGCAGCGGGTGTGTTCTGCTGATCAAAACACCCAGCACACTTGTGCTGAATCCTTTCAGGCTGCAGCCAGGGTAATTGGGATGGGCAGGATAAATGCATGGGAGTATGGCAGTCACAGTGATGGCAGCTCTTTTCAATGGCTGGGTGTCCCTGACGGGTAATTAGCAGCTTTAGAACTGCGGGGATTGGCATGGCCGTGATTAAAAGGATTTCTGTCTTTTCTGTGATTGAAAACAGAAGATCTCCCGCCCCCTAATTCTCTTTTAATACCGGTGTTATTAGTGACACTTGGAACACAGCTCCTCTGTAAACTTAAATAATGACCGCAGTGAATGGTGACTTAGAGCAGCAGGGACTGAACCCAGCTCAGTTTTTCTATGCAAAGCTGCTCCTCCTGATTCTGTGTTCCTCCTCCACGTGCGTGTCACTCCCAGTGAGTTTGGGAGACAAAGAGGACATTTGGTTGTGTGACAGCCTGGGAGCAGATTGCCCAGGGCCTGGTTTAGCTCTCCTGGCTCATTTTGGATGTAAGGAGATGAAGAGGATGAGCCATGAACTCCACAGGATTCATCCCGAGTTTTCACCTCCCTGCAGGTGGAGGGTTCCTTGGAGCAGGGAAATATCCCTGGCTTTTGGGTGCCACTCCAAATTCCCATTCCCTGTTTGGAAGCCCTATGAGCACTTGTTGCTGTGTTCTCCTCCAGCTCTGCTCTCTCAACTAACACAGTGTAGTGACAGGAGATAATTCCCCTTTTTCCTTAAAAAAAAAAATCTCAAAATACCCCCCACAGGAGAGCTGGCTGGACACCATCTTTGCCATTCACCCAGGATATCTGGTGGTGACCCAAAATATCATCATTTTCCCCGATCTGTTGCTAGATTCTCCAAAAGCACCTGCCATAGGGTGTTTTGTGCCTTTTAAATGTGTTTTTGTGAGTATCTTTTGCCCACTGAGCAACTGCAGAGCCTCTGCTCCATTTTTGCCCTTAAATTTCTTGACCAGTTTTTTCCATAGTGCTGTTCTCCACTTACCAGGCAGGTTTCCACATTTTGTTGGTATGTAAAGATGCTTAGAGGGACTCTTGGGTCACATTTAGTAAAACTAGCAGCTTCCTATCACCAAAAAATCCTCGAGAGAATTTAGGGACTTCCTTAGGCTCTTATTTAAATCTTCCAGTTACTTTTCAGCTTCTTTGCACTGAAATCCGTGTGAATCCCAGTTCAGAGCAGACCTGTGGCTGTGGGTACTTCAGTTCTTTGAGCACAGTTCCCACCACTGCACTCACAATAGCAATGGGAACAACTTCTGTTTTAGAAAATATATTTTTAGATATTCACTTGCTGCTGTCACTGGCCTCAATTCAGCTTCCCGTCCTCCTCTCCCTTCTCCTTAACTAATTAAAGTCTTCCATATTATGGCAAGATGGCATATGTAGCTTAAATAACCCACCTCTTTAATTAAGAGGTTGGATTCAGCCTTCTGAGATATATTTGACATCATTTGAGATTTAAAAATACATTTTACTTACACAGTTTATCTGTCAGATCGCTCAAGGAGGGCAAAGAGATAATGAAAATAAATTATTAATTAATATTTCTCACCCAGTATATTCCATTAAGAATATTAAGCATTTATTCCATTCCTAAAAGTATATTTGACTTTGTATAATTTTTTTTTAAGTCTGCCTGCTGATGAAGCTGCTGCTGTCTCTTTTTGACAGGGCTGTAGGGACAGGGTGGGAAATACCCTTCAGGAGCTAACCAGAGCCAAGAATTCCAAATATCAGCTCATTGACCAGGTTTCCCATTTCCTTTATGCACTGTGAGCAGATCTTTTCAAGCCCAACACGCCACAGACTGTCCCTGACACATCCAAGCTGTTCTTACCTTGAAAACGATTGGTAAAATTATGGAGTGAAAACAGCAGCAGGAGCATCTCCACTTCCAGTGTGTGGGATAAGTTTGGGTTTGGAATGGTGAAGGAGTTCAGGGTGTTGCTGGGACAGACCCAGGGGTATTGCACAGCATCTGGAACTGCTCCCTGAAAAGGGGAAACACCTGGGGATCTTTGTTCATGAGAGAATTGGGGAATTGGAGTGCTTTTTGTTCATTCTCTCACATAGGTAGTTCAGAGAATCCTGGAATGGTTTGGATGGGGAAGAGCATTAAATCCATCCCACCCCACCCCCTGCCATGGGCAGGGACACCTCCCACTATCCCAGGTTGATCCAAGCCCTGTCCAACTTGTCCTTGGACACTTCCAGGGATCCAGGGACAGGCACAGCTTCTCTGGGAATTTCATCCCAGCCACACCCTCACAACCAAGAATTCTCAACAGCATCCCACTCAGCCCTTCCCTCTGGCAGTGTGCAGCCATTCCCTGTGTCCTGTGCCTCCATCCCTTGTCCCAAGTCCCTCTCCAGCTCTCCTGGAATCCTTTGGGGCCCTGGAAGGTGCTGGAAGGTTTCCCTGCAGAGTTCCCTTTCAGTTTAACCAAACATTCCCACCTTGGCACGCAGGAACAATTCAAACAGTTCAGTTCAGCACTTCCTTCCTTCAGAGCTCTTTACTTACACAAATCTTCTTCTGTAGAGCTTTGTAAGTCTCAGTGCTCTTTCTCCGGAGTCATGGAGAAAATAAATACTGTTGAGATGTGGGAATGTTTATAAATCCATTGGATATATGTGATAAATTTGTAAAGAGCAATGCAGAATAGAGAGACAGTTTCAATTAGGGTTGGGTTTGGTTTTTTAATTTTTTTTTTTTTTTTGGATGAAGTAGATGGAATAGGGAGTTTGCATCAGGATTGTGGGAGGCCACCCAACCTCCAAGGTCTCCTTGTAAGTGACACACTGGTCCCTTCTGGCCTTAATTGTAAAACTGTGACTCCAAAGAGATAAAACGTGTCTTTTACTTTTATAACTTGTTCAGATTATTGAATAGTTTATAGAGATTTGAGTTCTGGAGGGGTTTTCTGCAGCAAGAACTTTCCATCAGAGAACACGTTGTGCCTTATGTCTCTAACCCCAGTTCCAGTTCCATACAATAAAAATCTTGTACCATTACCCCAAAAATTCAGCATAAATAGAATTTGATCAACTACAACCATTTCTTCAGGTTGCAGTGCTTCAGCAGCTGATTTTCACAAATAACATTTTCAGAGGGCTTCAAAAAATCCCACAGCCAGCACAAGCCCTCTTGCTAAACTGGTGTCTCCTAATTTCCTCCATGGAGCCTGCATTCCTTGAAGGAATTCCTGTGGAGTCTGAGCTCAGCCCTCCTCAACTGCTCTGAGCTGTTTGCTTCCCTCTGAAGTTGATTCTTAGTACTGAATTTGGCACATTATTTTCCCAGATTTCAGTGCTTCGTACAGAAATAATTTCTTTTTATCTTTCATGCAAGCTCCTTCACACCCCGATAATCCCATTTTACCTGGTTTGCCTGTTCTGAAGTGCTCTGACCTGAAGCTGTTGTCCTTGCAGCCTCCAAGTAAGGGATTTATCTTGTTCCTACCCTATAAAAAGCAATCCAGTGTAGGGCAGAAGCTCCCAAACTTTCTACTCTGGGGTTTCTCGGCTCTCAGACCCTTCTCCCTTCCCTCCTTGCAGTTTGGATGATTAGAAAATCACAGAAATAGCAATTTTTAAGTATAATTTTTTATTATTATTACTTAGTCTTTTTTTTTTAATGGGAAGATTTGTTTACTGGGAAACATTCCCATTTCCTTTGGCCTTTTAGATGGTGCTGTATCCATTACTTACTTGAAATATATATGAAATAAGTAAGAACAATTTAATCTACTTTGGCCTGTTTAAAAAAATTCAGCTCATAAGTTCAGCCAGTTTACAGCAGGTTCTTCACTTGCACAATCCTCTGTGAAATCAGGTGGTTGGACCATGGGAGAGGGACAAGGTGGAAATGTTTTTGTCATAGAGTCATGGAATGGTTTGGCTTGGAAGGGACCTTAAAGCTTATCCAGTTCCTCCCCCTACCATGTGCAGGGACACCTTCCCCTATCCCAGGCTGCTCCAAGCCCTGTCCAGCCTGGCCTTTTCTGTTCCAATTTATTTTGCCTTGCTTGTCCTTTGTGTTGGAACCTTAATTGGAGCAATTTTCCTGGTTTGGGTGCCTGCTTTTAATGTGGGTGTTTGGGACAGGATGCCTGGATTTGCACAGTTTTCCCAGGAGTCTGCTGCTTCCCTTGGACACTTCATTTATCCACGGTTAGGGATCCCTCATTGCAGTCAGAGTAGCTTATTAGTATTATTATTATTATCATTCATAAGTTGGTTTAGGCTTAAAAATAGTTGGAAAATCTTGAAGTCACTTTTCCAAGTGAAAAATTACAGTGAAAACAGAGTTTGGATTTTGAGCTTCCCATCTTCCAGTGTTATCCACTGAATTTTCTGGGGGTTTTTTTGGGTTTTTTTTGGGTTTGTTTTTTGGGTTTTTTTTTTTTTGTTGTTTGTTTGTTTTTTTTTTTTTGGCTTCTTTGTGAATTGGAGTGTCATCCTGAGCCTTGTGCTGACCTGAAGCTGGTTTTTGGTTGCTGTGGGGTCAGAGCCCTGTTTGGTCTTTGGGAGGGACAGATTCCCCATTCTATCACCCAGTAAAAGGGAAAAAGCCCTTTTCCCTTGCTGTTGGCTCCAGGAATGTCTTTCTGAATCTCATCAAAGCCTCCCTGATATTGCTGCTGGAGTTCTGAGTGGTTCTGGGCAGCACTTCTCCCACCAGTGCTGCTGGTTGAGGCTGGGAGAGCCCGGTGATCCCGTTGGAAGTCAGATCCTGTGGGATGACACGATGCCACCGTGCCACCATGGGACAGGGAAACCCAGGAGCATCAGATTTAAACTCAGTTTAGTTTCACAGCAGTTCTGTGGAAGGGTGACGAGTCAAAGTCAGTTGTGACCATTTTCCTGACACAATGCCTTGGCTGTCTTCCTCTTGGTCTTTATGATCTTCCCAAACCCGGGAAGCGGGAGATACGTGCAGTACTTCTTTCATTTTAGTTTGTTGGTTTTTTTTCTTAGTGTCGATTTAAAAAGTGCCTAAGTGAGGAACAGGACTCCAGAGTGAGCTGGAGGAATAGGATTAGACCTCATTTCCCTCTTGAGAAAAGAGCCCTCCCTGCATCCCTCTGCATATCCCTCCAATGAGTCCGGCTGGAAAAACTCCCCATTCTTTCCTCGTGCTGCCCCCCTTGGTTCTCAGTCTTCTGGGAGGGGGATCTCGTTCCTCAGCCGAACGTTTGCAGTCTCTGATCTGGGGTGGATGGCAAAGAGGATGGAATTCAGAAGGAAACTGCCTCTTGGATTGCAGATACAAAGAGCTCTGTGTGATAAAACGCCCACCTTTGGAAAACCAGATCTGGGTGGAAACAGCTGATGTGCTTCTTTAATCACCTCTTTTGGAATCACAGAATGGTTTAAAATCATCCAGCCATGGGCAGGGACATCTCCCACTATCCCAGGTTGCTCCAAGTCCCATCCAACCTGGCCTGGAACATTTCCAGGGATGGGGCAGCCAGAACCTCTCTGGAATCCCAAAGGCAGTTTCTTCCTATATTCTTAATTATTTCTAGGTTTGTCATAGTAGAACCTGCTAAACATTTTGTCCAAATAACCCTAAACTATCAGCAGGTGGTTATAATTTTGTAAAGGTGAGAATTTTATGTGGATTTAAAGAATAAAAGTATCAGTGGTAGATTATAATATTTCATTAAAAGAGGATTTCTTCTGACCACAGTGAGAGGAGGTAACAAACACTATGAAGGAGTTTTAGTACCACTTAAGGGTTCAGCAAATAAAAGCAAGCCGTGTGTAGATGTTTTATTTTTCATTAGCAACAAAATGTTTTCACTCTGAGGTGGGAAGGCCTGGGAAGGGACTGTTGGCAAGGAAAGCTTTGAGGACATCTCTGCAGAGGGCAGACACTCAGCCTCTGGGGAGGGGATGGGTGCTGATAGAAGCAGTGATCCTGTGGGAATCCATTGCTGATGGAAATCAGGAGATTCCTGATGGAAATCCACTGTTCGTGGAGCCTGTGGCACGCACGGACCTTGGCCCTGCTCCGAGATGCCTTTTGGAAGTGTGACAAGTGACAAATGGCTGTCCTGGCAGCGGATGGGTGCTGCAGTTGCAAACCCACGAGCGAGGGCACGGTGGAACAGCCTCGGAGCCACATGGAAACAACAAAACCCCAACCAAGGCCGGGGAGGTTCCTCACATCCCAATTCTCTGTGTCTCCACTTTGTCCCACCGTGACCTCGACCCGGGGCCAGCTCCACTTCTCCTGCCTGGGCCGTGCTGGGATGGCTCCAGCTGCCTCCTGTCACTGTCACCAGATAAATCAGTGACACCCAGGACCCCATCCCTGCCCTGGCCTCTCCCACCCAGCTGCTGCTTCGCCCCAGCTGGGCCGTGTCTCATCTGCTGTAGGTTCCTGCCTACCTCAAGGGGTAACCATGGGATCCTGGAGTGGTGTGGTCACCCTCTGGTCGGTTTTCCATGAGCACTAGCGCACACTCACACACACTCACACACACACTGGAATGTATATTCTCCTCCCCCCTAGCCCCCAAATAACCTCTTGACCTGATCCTTGCTGTAGCCACCACCAACTCCTCTTGCAAATTGGATGCTGCTTTAAATGTGAAAACAAATGTTCAAGAAGCTATAAAACCTGAATGAAAGCTAAAGCTGAATTTATAAAGCCTTGTTGCATATGAGCCAAAAGTGCAAAAAGCTCTATATAATGAACTAACCTGCCACTCATATAAATATAAATATATATAAATATATTAAAATCAGACTGTTCTACAAAATTGTGTATTTGTATTTTTGTGTACGTACAATTTTCTGCTAAGCAGAAGGAGGATGTAGTATAGGATGATGTGAGAAGAGATTTTGTTTAATCATATTTCTTTGTTACTTATTTTTGTTAACATCCAGATGCCTGTCTTTGTCTTATGTGTATGACACTGTTCCAAAGGTGCAGTATCCCTCTCCTGCCGCGCGTCCAACCTCCTTCCTCCACAGGGAACGAGTCAGGTGATGCCCCCTCATCATCATCATCATCATCCTCATCCCCTTCGGATCCACCCTGATCTTGATCTTAAGGGCTGCTCCTTCAGCTGAAAGACGAGATGCTTCATTTCCCAGCGTGGTGAAGTTGAATATTCATGTTCTGGTTGCACGTAGTTGTTCCCTAAACACGTTTCCATGCTCTGCTGCTGCTCCTCAGCCTGACATTTTGGGGGGAAAAATCGGATTGGATAGGTTGGGAGGGAGGATGAGCAGATCCTCGTGGTGGGAAGTTGCTGATGGAGAAGAAAGTGCCGGGGTGGTCCCGGGGTGAACCTTGGTCACCCCCCACGGGGGATGGAGGAACCTCGTGGTCCCCATGCTGGCTGCTCTCGGGGGGCTTGGCTGTCAGGAAGGAAGGCTGGGGAGGTGATGGGTTATAAAACTCTCCCTGTGCCCCCTCAGGAACATCCACCCCTGCACCCTGGTGGCTTTGGGGCACTTTGGCTCTTTGCTTTGGGAGGGTTGGAGCAGCCTGGAGAGGTGTCCATCTGTTCATGCCAGATCCCCTTGCAGTGAAGGCACTGAGTGGTGAGAAGAACATTCCAAACTCTTCTCCCAGTCACTGCCTTTATCTGTGAGGTGCTGGTGGCTCCCTGCCAGGAGGAAAGGAACAGTGTAGGAAACCTGGGAACCCTTGGTGTGCTTGGGAATCATTATTTATCCATCACAGAGAACTGTCCAGGGAAACAAAGGGCCAAAGGAGACGGGATAGAACAGATCTAGTGGAGTATCACCTTCAGTCCCACCACAGCCCCTTGAGGAAACTGGTCCAGCCTCCATCCCAAATGCAGGTGAGGGTCAATGTCCATCACACCTTCCCCTGGCAGCAGCTGCTGTAAAATGAACCATCAACCTCTCCCCTTGTTCCGTTTTTTTTTTTTAATTTAATCCCTGTCTTTGTCAGAGCCGACCCGCGGCCGGGGGGAGAGCGATACTGCACCTTTCTACGTAGGGCTCATATTTATAACAATGTGTAATGACTGTAGCAAAGTCCTTGTTTCTGTATGTGAATGGACAGAGAAACAAGTGCTCTATTGTATTGATTAAAATAGTTCAAATGAGTCCTGTATCATTGTATCTCCTATTCTGGATTAGTGCCTTTTGGACAGTAGACTGTTCTGTAATTAAAATGTAGTATAACTGCTTTTTTGTACAGTTTTGTTTTAATAAAACTTTTTTTTAATTTGTGTTTATTTTAGTATTGTACCTATTAGAAAATAAAAATGTATAACTCAACACTGACCATTTTCTTTTGCCGTTCTTTTTGTGCAGGGCTTGTCTGAGACCAAAAACGTGTCCTGATAAAAAAGGAAATGTAAAAATTTTGGGTTTGTTTGGGGAAAAATTAATTCTTTGTGCACTCCCCTCTGGAAGGGATGAAGGTGGTGGGCACGATGATGGTGGGTTTGAAGCAGTGGAATCATTGGATTGGGAGCTGACTCCAGAGACCTTTTGGGGCTCTTTGCTCTCAGAGGAGATGCTGAGAGCGGAGTTTTCCCTCCCACGGCAGGAGGGGCTGTGGCTGCCCTTTAGTCCTGGTCTGAGCAGCTTTTGGGGTTCTCAGAGAGGGTTTGTGGGGTGGTGGTGGGGGAAAAGCTTCCTCAGAATGGGGAGAAACTCCTGCAGGTGGTGTGGAAACTGAGCCAGGTGGCAGAGAAGACACAAAGTCACAGGAATTCATTTGTTCAGTGAAATGGTGCCCAGGTGCTGCCACCCTGGTTAAGATCAGGATGTGCAGCTGTGGTTGGGGGGTTTGCTCAGGGTGGACACCTCAAAACGGGGAGGAAGGCAACTCTGGAGGGGTGCAGATGATGGATAATGAACTTCAGGAGTGGAAACACCTTTCAAACAGCTCCTTGTGCCTCTCAGACATCAAAGAGGGGGATAAAATTTATCTTAACCCTCCCCATCATCAGCTGCCAGAGTTGCTGTGTTTGCAGAGGGAATTTTCTAGAGGGAAGAGGATGGGGATCATAGAATCCCAGAATGGTTTGGGATGGAAGGGACCTCAAAGCTCATCCAGTCCCACCCCTTGCCATGGGCAGGGACAACTTCCACTATCCCAGGCTGCTCCAAGTTCCAGCCAATCGTGCCTTGGACACATCCAGGCATGGGAAAAACACTTCTAGGGGTGTCTATTGCAACACCTGGGATGTTGGATGAAGCCCACTCCCTCCTTCACAGCTGAAAACCAGGAATACAGAAAAGCTCCATTTGGAGATGTTTTTAAAAACACAAGAGGAATAAATCCACATTGGAGGTCTGTGCTTTGCATAGAAGCTGCACTTCCAGCCCTTCACACCTGCTTTGGTGGGAAACCAGACTGATGAGGGAAAAAACAGTAATTTCTCACAGGTTGGTGTCCAAAGGTGAGCAAAACCCCCTTGGAAATGTGCCCAGCTCGTGGCAGGGCAGCTCCTCTCTCCACTCAGGGTGAAGCCCAGGGGCTGCTGCCTCCCATGGCAAAGTGTTTGAAGCCAAGAGAGGCTGATGGAAGTGGCGTTAATTTGAAGGAAAACGGGGAAAAAAGGTGTTGTTAGTTTTGGAGGTTTTTAAAAATTATTTTCCTGCTCTTTTTGATGGGAGCCTTTTCAAGGCAGCTTTGGCTGCAGAACAGAACGCGGCAGCGCGGGGAAGGTGCCACAGTCACCTTCCGGGAAGAGCGAGGTTTGAACAAAGTGATGCTGCTTCAAACAGCTCCTGTGTTTCAGCCAAAGAGGGTTTGTTTTTTTTTTTCTTTCAGAAGGTAAAACATAAAAGTGGCTTTAAAGAAAAAAAAGCTGTTTTCGTGTGCTGATTGCAAGACAGTGCTGATAAAAATATCCTTTGCTCCCTGAGTTTCAGTGGGGATGGGGTGGATCAACGCAGTGTTTGTTGCTTTAGAAAAAAGCCAAGATAAACTGAAAAACTACACAAAATAATCCCAGTCAAACCCTGCCTGTTGTTTCCGACATGAAGCTGCATTTGGGAGAGAAACGGTGCCAAAGAGAAAGGAAATGATGTGGCCCAGGCAGGGGGTTTCAAGGACATCATGAAATGTTGAGGGGGGTTCTCATCACACCGAGGCCTTGGCGGGGTTGAGGCACCGACCTCCCTACAGACCAACCTGGAGCAAGGCAGAAAAGTCCTTGGGATCCTCATCCCACTGTGGATATTAGGGATAAAAATCTCCCTCAAAAGGGTGGCCAGGCGTTGCCACAGCCGCCCAGGGAATTCTGAAATCACCATCCCCAGAGGGATGTAAAAGCCATGTGGACGTGGCACCTGAGGACATGGGTCAGTGGTGGCCTTGGCAGTGCTGGGGAACCACTGCAATAAATTTTGGAAGCTTTTCCAACCTAAACTATTCCCATTCTAAACATTTTGGTGCCATTAACTGGAACAACAAAGCACAGACATCCCAGCTCTAAAGAAGATGTTTATTCAGGTCCTGCAGGCGGCATCATACGTATGATACAATATTACAGTCAATTTAGTATGGTACAGAAATAATTAAAAACTTTACAGCTCATTACAAAGTCTCTTTGGATTTCAGCTCATTTAAAGTACCCGGAGCCCCTGCAGAGTCTGACCCTGCTGGGCCACACGAGCTGGGACCAGGGAACCCGACGGGATCGCGGTCTGGGAACGGTGGAGAGGGCAGAAACCAAAGATGGAGACGGGAGATGGAGGAACAAGACACTTGATCGTGACCCTGCTCGAGGTGTCGTGAAGTGTGACCAGCCCACACCGTTCCTCACCGCCTCATTCCCTAAAATCCAGGCACCCCGAGGCTGCCCAGCCCCGGGATAAGGCACTGGGAAAACGAAATGTTGTGCAAAGAACCGAGGAACCGGCGGTGGGACAACGGGAACACCACCAAGGACAGGGCTGGACAACCCCCAGGCCCTGCTCAGGTGGGGTTCCACCCCTGTGGGGAGGAATGAGGGGGCTCTGCCTTTGTAGGAGAGCACGGGGGTGTTGGACATTCCACCCCAACCACGGACAAACCCCTCTGTTCAAGGACCTGGGTGGTGTCACCACACAGAATTTGCTTCCGTTCGTTTTCCTCAACTCTACAACATCGTGGAAGGGGCCAAAACCTCGGGGTGAACAGGCTTGATTTTGGACATGGAGATCAAAACAACTCAAGAGCTGAACCTAACGCAGGAAAAAGGCGTGGCTTGGCTTGAGAAAACCCCAAAGAGTCCCTCTGAGCAGCCTCCTCTTGGCTGGCCTGGTGCCACCAACACCCCGTGGGGAGGATGAAGCCTTTCCAAGCCACCGACACCATTTTCCAAGGATCTGAGACCCACCCCCAATTCAGGGACACAGCCAGCAGGACTGAACCCCCGAGAGACACCAGAGGAGATGAGACACTCCATACAAATGACACTCTCCTGCATTAAATATTCTTCCTCCCTGTATAAAGTGCATGAAAATCTTGGAAAAATCTGCATAGCTATTCACAGACCAGCCTCAGTGCCGGGCGGTTCCAGTTCAGAGCACCTCCCCCTTTAGGCTGAGAGTAGAGCTTTTCTAATATTATCAGTAAAAAATAGATATTATTACCTCCATGATGACTTTTACCTCTTTTCTGGTTTGCTTAGCTGGGGCAAAGTAACAGATGGCTTTGAGTAGAGGAACGTGCACTCAGTGTGCCAAAAATTTGAAAAACGCCTTTAGAAAACACCTCACGTGCCCAGGAAAGCTGTGAGGGAGCAGGAGAGAATCAGGGAATCCTCCAGGAACACCCTCATGGCCAAATTTGATGTTTTATTTCCGATGTCACAGGAAATGGTGAAAACCAAGAGAGCTCTGAGCAAGGTCTCCCTCCACGAAGGCAGCGCAGGCTCCTCGTGCTCCTCCTGGAATCACCCCAGCCCTACTGAACAGAATTCCTTCCAGGACCAGTTATCCCAGAGGAGGGATAGTTATCCCACAGGCTGCTCAAAGCACCCTTCACACCCCTCTCCGTGGTTCTGCAACACAACTGGGGGTGGGAGGAGAGGGAATCCAGCCCGGAGCAGTCGGATCAGCCTCCAGCCACCAAAACCACGGCCAGGGCTGCAGCCCAAACAGGCCAGAGGAGTTTATAACCAGCAGCAGAAACAGGGAATCACCCACCCAGCTCCTCCTGCTCCTCCCCTTCACTCCTGCAGCCTGGACACCTTTCCATGGGAAATCCTGGACTCCCAGGCAGCAGCACAAGAAAAGAGGTTTCAAAAGGTTCCTCCCTTCGCATCTCCCCCAAAGGGACCACTGAGCAAACATGGAGGAGTTTTAAAGACATCCCTAAATCCAAGTGTCTGAAATGCTGAGACTAAAAACACACAACTCTGGGGAGGGGCTGCATCACATCAGCTTCTTCCGGCAGCACATCAGAACAAAGTGCAATTAAAAACACGATCAGGGTGGAGTTCACAGAACCAACAAGGCTAATTGTAAGTGTAAGAGGCATCAAATTAATTAGTGGGTGGTCTTTCATTGGCAAGACTCCTCAGACCCCAAAACAAAGAGTTTCACTGTATGGGTTGTGTTCATAAAACTAGTTTTAATTTTAAAACCCAGGATTTCAGCATCAGAATTCTTTACTACCAAATTCCTCCCCCATCGTGGCTTGGATGGACAGGAGCTTCGTGCAAAGGGAAAAAGAGGGAAAAACTGTACACTAAAAATATCTTTAAAAAGCTGCTCTGTACATTTTATATTAAGATTTCTTGAGGAAAATTTAGGAAACACTGAAACTACTTACACCAAGCTGGGAGGATACACAACCCCTGGCAGTTCTATGCAGGCTGCATCGGAACCCAGCCCGCTTATTTCTGCTACAGATTAGTTTCTATTTTAATTTTATTCCTTCTGCATAAATGATATTAATTACAGTAAATCAGCATAATTATCTCCTTCACTAAGCATCCCTATCTCCTTTGATACCAATGGAGCTTTCCCTTGGACCTCAGAACCAGATGTTTAAGGCACTTGGATACCCACGGGCAGCGACTGGAGAGATATTAAAGTTTAATCATTAATTTAGCATCCTAAATAGTCCCCACGTAGCTAAAACATCTATTGCTCAGGCTGTCCAATCCCCCTGTGATGACTGAACAAGATATAAACAGCTCAGGATAGAAAAATCTGTGGCTTTTCAGGATTTGATAGGAAAACAAGCGTTGGCCGATCTGTGCATGGACACAAGGACAGGGATACGTCCCCTGTGCCACAGGCAGCTAAAAACCAGCCACAAATAAAATCAA